CCTTGCTGATTTCCTCCCCATCCAAAGTTGGGGTGATCTTTCCATCCCGGATTATAAGTATTGGAGCACGGGTTCCTCTGTTGTCGGTTGGTGTCATTCACGTAATTTAGAGACTCCGTTTCTTCTAAGCACTGGTCAGAAACTTGGACTGCATGGACTTGCTGAGTCTGCAAAGTTGCTACATGCTTTGATAGCTTTTCTAACTGGGCAGTGATTGCGGTGACCTCGTCTAACTCCAAAATTCCTCCCGTCTTCTTGGTTCCGCTATTTGACCGGTCCGATGCCCGCATGTATTTGTTTCTTGCGATCTGCTCCAAAAGTTCGTAAGCTTCGTCATAGGTCAAGCTCATGAACATACCGCCAGCTGCTGAATCGAACACCGTTCTCGAATTTTCTTGCAATCCATCATAAAATATTTGAAGTTGCCGCCACTCTTGAATTCCGTGATTCGGGCATCTCCGAATTAATTTTTTGAATCGCTCCCACGTCTCAAACAACGCTTCACCGGCTTCTTGTAAGAAATTTTGTATTTCTCTCCGGATTCTCTCAGTTTTAGTTGGGGAGTTGTACGTATTCATGAAGAGTTGTGCTAGCTGGGGCCAAGATGAGATGGAGTGCGGTGCACGAGTTTGTAACCATTCTCGGGCTGCTCCTTGCAAAGAGTGCTTGAAAAGGCGGAGTTGCAGTGCTTCAGGGGATACTCCGTTCATCTTGTGCGAATCACATGTTTCGAGAAAGTTGACCAAGTGGAGATGCGGATCTTCATGAGCTAATCCGCTAAAAAACCCATTGTTTTGGAGCATAATAAGGAGTCCCGCTCTAATTTCGAAATTATTGGCTTCAATGGGGGCTGTTGGATGCTCGATTGGAACCCATTGAGTGTCAGAACGGTGTACTCATGCAATGCTCGTTGACGAGGTGGTGGATTAATGAGTTGACGTTGCTCTTGCTCGTTGATGATATTTCCTGCCGCATTCGGTAGGTGCCCTTGGTCATCTCCCCTACGATTATTCTCTTCTTCCATTCGCATAAAAAGTACCTAAAACAAAAATTATAAAAATAAAATAAGCAAATAAAATAAATAAATAAAACGGCTGAAGTAAGAAAAATTGCTTAAATTTGATATTAGAATAAATAGATAATATAGCCGTATTCCCCGGCAACGGCGCCAAAAACTTGTTGGGCTAAATACCTAACACGCAAGTGCACGTATCGCAAACAAGTAGTAAAAATGGACTCGTGAGAGTCGGATGTCGATCCCACAGGGAATACTCAAATTATCTAATCATAAGTACCAAATTCTAACAATTATTATTTTTATCCAGCCTACGCAAAGTTGTCAAATCTAATCAACAAAATAATTAAACTAATTAAGAAAGCAAATAAACACGAGAAAATATCAATAAAAACGGACCTAGGATTTTATCTTCCCCCTATGCAAGAATTGCTCACCCAAAACCCCTCAATTATGAAATATATGATTCCTGATTATTAACCCGAGACACTAATTTACTCATAACCTGCTGTCGCGTGTATTATGAGTCTATTATTCATAAACCGTTCACTATATGTCTATGCAAACCAATTATGAATAAATCATTAACTAACAAGTCTTGTAAATGGCTACCTAAGGTGATATTTGTATGTCTACGACACCACATGCAATTGACACACTCATCCGGTGAAAACTACCCGAAGGTTCTTTTACTTACCGTCTAATTATCAAAATAGCTCTGTCGAGTCAATCTCAATAATCACAGATAAAGCACATAAACTGACCAGGTTCATGCACTAACAATCATAACAAGTAGAAGAAATAATCATAAAATCATAATTGCATAATCTCAAGAAAACGGGCTCACCATCCCCACATAGGGTTCCAACAAAATCCTAGATTAAAAACTTAGCTACTCATCTTCTCTACGAAAAACATAATAAAATAAACAAAAGTCATAGAGTTAGAAAAGATAGATGAAAGAAGAATTATGATGAAGATTCGTGATACGAACCCCGTAGAACTCGTTACGAGACCCAAATACCCTATGCTGAAGCAAGATCGAAAACATCCAAAAACAAAGATTCAGAGGGTGGAACCGCGACCCGTTGCCTATAAAGAGGCAAGAACCTTGGTATGTGAAGACGCCACAATCAATTGTGAAAGATCGATTGATAAGTCGGGGTGAACAAACGGAATCCACCGATATGTTCGAAGAGTTCTTAAAGAACCAAAGAGAATATTCTCAATTAAATCATCAAAATTCGTCCTATAAAATAAGCCAAATTGGCAACCTATTTATAAGGTCTAGAAAGACTCTTTTTTTCACAAGGAAAAAAAAGACTCCTACCTAAACTATAATAAGGAAATAAATCAATAAGCAAATCCTAACCATAAAAGACTCTAAAATAATAAAAACATTATAAACCCTAAATTAAAACGTGAATAAGTAAATTCAATAACTTGATCTTCAAGTCGACTTCTTGATCACCCTTCTTAACTCGCGACATTGGGCTGTGCACGTGCATGCAATTACAGCTCAATTTGGACACTGTTCCACTTCGAATATCTCTTCGCTCAAAACATGAAAGTTGTAGATCTTTCAGTTAGCTTTCCGAATCATTTTGAATAATCTTAAATGGACTTCAGATGCGAGAGTTATAACTCGAATGGTAAACTCTGCCAAAATAGGCGAGAATCTCGGATGCATGGAATTCGACTTGTCCAACGACTTCTTCTCTTTCTTTTCTTCCAATTCCAAACCACGGACTCTTCAAAGGCCTGAGTCAAGCCTTTATTCTTCAATCCCAACACGAACGGCTCCATTAATCTCACTCGCTTTCTCTTCTTCCAATCCTTTGTCTTGTACCTTGTGCGGATCGTATCATTCTCCCCCTCTTTAAAAGGATTCGTCCTCGAATCCGGACAATTATCACAAGGAGTATAAACAAGATCGATCTCTTTGTTTGGTACCGAACTTACTCATCTCTGCACCACATCGCCAAACACACTATCTAGCATCCATTGAAGTGGATATGAACGCGAGTATTTTGTAGCTTGAAGTTCCAATGCGTTCAACCTCTGTATAGAGAATGGATGAAGCATCTCTCTAGGCACCGCCATCTCATCAACATTTACACTGAGAGTTTGCACTTTTCTTAGATCGGCATTAACTTCGATGCATGGCTGGATCATATCATTCTCCACCTCTTCAAAAGGATTCGTCCTCGAATCCGAACCTTCCATTTCTTCTTCAAGTGGTGGGGCTGTTATGCACTTTTCATCCTCCTTGGGCTGCAATTCAACAATATCGTCTTGCATCCCTTCAATTTTTACACCAATGCTTTCCACGATGTCTAGAACATTTTTCTCCATGGGAATTTCAATGTTATCATTCCTCTGAGGTGGTGACACGTAAATAATCTTTTTCTCCTTTGTAGAATCATCCTCAATGTTGGACCACAAGTTCACGAATTGCTTGCTCGGACACTCTCCTCTCTTAGTCTTGAATTGCTGCTTGGTTTTTGATTTCTCTCTTTTAGGCTTTTGCAACGATTCTCTCACCATTCTCGTTGGATAACTCCTTTGCGATTCCCACCTCGGCGAACTCCGTTCTTCTGACTTAGTAACTTGCCTCATGCTTTGCATCTTCAATTCCCTATAATAATGGGCAGGAACGAACCTCTTTCTCATAACTGCCTTCATGGACTCCCAATCATCAATTGGTGGTTTACCACAGCGGCGCCTAGTTAAGACAAATTGATCCCACCAAGTAATTGCATAGTCAATGAACGTTTCGACGGCGAGCTTCACCTTCTTCTTCTCGGAATAATAATGATAATCGAATACGAGCTCAAGCTTTCTTTCCCATTGAATGTACGCATCAGGATCACTCTTTCCTTGGAAAGATGGTATTGTCAACTTGAGTGAGCTGAAGTTTTGATCTACGCCATCTCTTTCTCGACCAAAATATTCTCGCCCCGATCTATCCATTCCAGACCCTCGTCCCATACTCTCCCTCCTTGATTTTATAGTGTTCACACCAAAATTTTCATCACGATCTACCTCTTTATCGGGATAAGGTATAACTGGTTGGTGAACATCACGTCGTACGTATGGCCCTCGAACATGTTGATCGTTGTGTAGTTCCTTTAGTTGGGTAACAATTCATTCCATCCGAACTTGGAGTTCCAGGAAGCGGTTTTCCATTGGCGACATCCTACGCTGCTCAATTTTTTCTCCGTAATAACCGGCTTTCTCGGACATGATCAATATGTTTTTTTTTTTTTTTTGTTGACACTAACAAACTCTAAACAAGAACAAAATTCGATTTTTTTTTCTTTTTTGTTTGACACGAACAAACCCTAACTTGGCTTAAAAGAAATCTAAACAAAAAATTAAAATTCGATTTTTTTTTTTGTATTTTTTTTTTGCAAGGACTCTAGACAAAACCTAACTTATACTCTAAGAAACTCAAAACAAATAACCAAAAATTCGATTTATTTTTATTTTGACTCTAAACAATAGAACGAAGAATAAGAGAAAAGAGGACTAGAAGACTCGACAAAAGACAAAAGAAAACTACGATGACACGAACAAGACTGACTCAAAACTAAAGATAAAGATACGTGAAACCTGTTTTGGATGTTGGCTCTGATACCAACTGATACGAACCCCGTAGAACTTGTTACGAGACCCAAATACCCTATGCGGAAGCAAGATCGAAAACATCCAAAAACAAAGATTCAGAGGGTGGAACCGCGACCCATTGCCTATAAAGAGGCAAGAACCTTGGTATGTGAAGACGCCACAATCGATTGTGAAAGATCGATTGATAAGTCGGGGTGAACAAACGGAATCCACCGATATGTTCGAAGAGTTCTTAAAGAACCAAAGAGAATATTCTCAATTAAATCATCAAAATTCGTCCTATAAAATAAGCCAAATTGGCAACCTATTTATAAGGTCTAAAAAGACTTTTTTTTCACAAGGAAAAAAAAGACTCCTACCTAAACTTCTTATCGATAAGCTCTTGAATTTGGTCCTTGAGTTCTTTAAGTTCTAACGGGGCCATGCGGTAGGGTGCTTTGGAAATGGGAGTTGCGCCCGGAACTAGGTTGATCTCGAATTCGATTTCACGATCGGGTGGGAGACCGGGGAGGTCTTCGGGAAAGACATCGGGAAAATCACAAACGATGGGTACTTTTGAAGGGTCGGGTTTATTTGTGTCGGAAATTTCCACTATGTCGACCAAATGACAACAATGCCCTTTACGAGCGAGTTTAAGTGTTTTGACGGCGGAGAGGATTTGTAGTGAGGGTGAAGAGGACCCTTGAAATTCTACTATTTGGCCATTTGGTAAGGAAAGATAGACGGTTTTGGTCGCACAATTGATTTGGGCATTATATTTGGACAACCAATCCATTACGAGAATTACTTCGAAATGGTCTATAGGGAGAATTATGAGGTCGGAATTGAGTGGTTTCTTTTGGATTTGGAGTGGGCAATCTTTGAAAAAGAGGTCGGATTCTAAGTCATTGCCGGATGGTAAGCGAATTGTGAATAATTCACTAGATGTGGTGGGGGTTATCGGGAACTTGGCGGCGAGGGTACTCGAGACGAATGAGTGAGTCGATCCGGAATCAACTAGAGCATAAACGAGATTGTTACAAACGTAAATTGTACCTGCTATCATCGAAGGGTCGGCTTCGGCTTGATCTTTGGTCATAGCGAACACCCGACCGGGAGCTCGGTCTTGTGGCGGTGGTTGTGGGCAATCCCTTATCAAGTGCGCTGGTTTTCCGCAGCGATAACAATTGTTGGTTCCTTGAACGCAGGGTCCAAAGTGAGGTTTCTGGCACTTTGGGCAAATCGGTCGGGCTGGTGGTGTAGCACTGTTTTGAATCATTGGACGTTTCCCCTTGTTTTGGCTCGGTCCGGTGTGGGGCCTCTTCCATTTATGAGTGGTGGCGGGTGGAACAGATCGAGATTGACGGATCTCTTGCTCGGCTTGGTCTGCTTCGAGTGCTTTGTCGACTATTTTCCGAAAAGTCGTTACGGAAGACATGCGGACATCTCGTTGAATCACCGGGTTGAGTCCTCTAAGGAAATGGTTGGCCTTTTCGTCAGCGTCTCAGGATATGAATGGGGCGTAGAGACATCCTTGTTCGAATCGCCTTACGTACTCGGCTACGGACAAGTTGCGTTGCTTTAGTTCGAGAAATTCCTTTAGCTTCTGGGCTCGGAGGTTTTTGGAAAAGTACTTTGCAAAGAACAAGATTTTGAAAGCGCTCCACGTAGTATTTGTTAGGTCGATTCCTTCTTTGGTACCTTCCCACCAATGACGGGCTTCGTTCTTCAATAGGAGAGAACAATGGATTCGATCTCGGTCGGACATTTCCATGTAATCGAAAATGACTTCTAGGGATTTGATCCATTCTTCGGCTACGGTTGGATCGGGACCTCCATGGAATTCGTCGGGGTGCATCCTTAGAAACCTTTCGTAAATGGCTTGGGGTGCGGTATTTTGAGGTGGTGGAGGTGGAGGGTTTTGGTTTTGGAGGTTAACAAGGCGTTGGATTTGTTCATTTTGTTCTCGGACGAGGGCGGTGAGGTCTTGTATGGTGCGAGATTGATCGTTCGGATCGGTAGCGGCATTTTGAGCTCGAGTTTGTGCTCCCGACATATTAATACTTTAAATAAATAAACATTTCACATTAGTCAAATAATTTTTTTTTGCACATAAGCATATATATACATAGATACCTGCCCGAGTGTTTAGTCGATGTCGTACTTCGAGAATCTCGGAGATCTTTAAGTTCATATGGAAGTTTCCGGGGAACGTTGCTCTGATACCACGTATGTGTGACACCCATTTTCTAATTACACTTACTTAGTAATTTAGAATATGCTAGCGGAAGACTTATAGAAAATAATGAGTGTGGAATGCTCGTTTTAAAAATCACCTTCTACCAATAGAAAGTTACGCATAAATTTTTCTTTTAAAATCAGAGGAAGAGTGTCCACATAATACTATATCATATACACTTCACCAAATATCACAAAAGGAACATGCATGACTAGATTATTGAAATTATCAAGAGTAAAGATTAGGAAGTTCGGACAGATTTGGTAGATCAACTTAGAAAATTAATATCTCTTGAACCCTTCATGAAAATACTTTGAAAATTTAACCACATACTCTAATATGGGTCTAAATTACTCAGTTAAAACAGTTTTGAAATATCATTAGCCAGTTGAGAGAAATAATTAAACATATGCAATTGTACAGTTTAAAAATCCAGAACAGGAGAGGGAGCTTTGAAAATTATTTATAAATTCCCTACTGTTCTAAAAACTACCAAATTTTATACCAAAGTATATAAGTGAGTTAGGAACATACTCCAAGTTAAATGGATTCATTTGAGTAAGAAAAACTTCATATATTGATGCATGTCCTAAAACGACTCAGCATGTGCACAGTTACGGAAATTAATTCATAATAAATTCGTGACTTGTCCAAATGATGCAAAAGACCTACCAAAATAACCCTAACAGAAAGACCTACAACTCTGAAAAATTTCATGCAATTCTAAACAGAAAGTATATTTAATACGGATTATCGAACAACAGGGCAGAACACAACATATAATTAACCGATAAGCATTATATAGAAGTTTGGCAAAAAGAGGAAATAAAATTCCTAATTATTATTAGATGCAATGTTCTTACTAATAAGATCCCCCGAGGGGTGGAAGAGTACGATAATAGATATCTAAGACGGTATCGAAAGTCTTTAAAATTAAACTATATAAGTAAAACAACATGGCTAAATTAAGAGCACACAAGATCCACACGCCTTCCATATGAACACATCCTCGATCCTCGAACTCGACTCCAACTTTACGACTCGTGCTCGGGATTGAAAGTACCTACAAGCATTTCAACACCTATATGAGTCTTTTGGACTCAATGAGAATTTCCGAAGAAATATCGAATACACATAGGCAAACAAGCATATATTTATGATATGTATATATGTATATATCACATCTCAAATCACACATATACACAATAAAAGCATTTCGATTTTACCTCAATCGTCATTTCATTGAGGAACTTTACCAATTTACCTTTACCTTCTCGGATTACCTCTTAGACCTTCCTTTCATCATTTCATAAGGAATAAGAGTAAATCCCTTACAAGGGAGTCGTCATTCTTTTGCACATACATTCATTCAAGTGCTCATACAACGTGTGAGAAAAATCATTTTCTTTAGTCGGATATCCTTTGGAAAAATCAAGTAAAACCATAGACAATAAGCCTTCATTTATTTGGAACCCGTTTCATAAGTGGAATCAAACCACACACTCTTCATCTCATTTTTGGGGTACCGGTCCCTCATACCCCGTGCTTATTCGATCTATGTTTTACAAAACTTTCCAATTTTAAAAACGTGCAAGTGAGGTTAGTACATATTTTCATTCATTTCAAGCAATTTGATTAGGTGTGTGAGAAAACATTTTTCGTTCGGATATCCTTTGAAAAATCAAGTAAAACCATAGACAATAAGCCTTCATTTATTTGGAACCCGTTTCATAAGTGGAATCAAACCACACACTCTTCATCTCATTTTGGAGTACCGGTCCCTCATACCCCGTGCTTATTCGATCTATGTTTTACAAGATTTTCCAACTTTAAAAACGTGCAATGTGAAGTTAGTATATATATTCTTCATTTCACATATTCAAAGTTAGCTTTCACATAAGCACACATATTTCCACATATTTCACAAAGGTCACATAATTTAGTCACAAAATCACAAAAGCAAGTAAGACACATAACAACTCAAGCAAAGAATATAGATCACATATTTACACATATAGCAAAACAACTCAAAGCATTCAGTTATTTATAATTACTATCTCCAAGTTTCATTAATTAAAGTTCAAGCCCTCTTTCTCGAGAGACTTGAAGTTTTCTTTCAAGTAGCACTAAATTTCCATTTATTTCATTTTCTTTCCAAAATATTCGAACCATCAACAATTCAATCACACAAAATTCCTTTTTTATTAATCTTATTCTCGAGTTTTATCTTCATATATTATCTTATTACTCATAGATCATAAACCATGGATCGTAAGCTTCCTCGACCCGAAGGGAGTACACTTACAACCGCGTAGGTCGATATATATATACACATAGAAACATATACTTATATATATAGCACATATAGATTATAAATAAACCATGGATCAAGTACTTTCTTCAACCACGCAGGTTTACGAAAACCATGGATCGAAGTTTCCTTAAGATCACGCAGGTCTAGTATATATATACATAAATAAAATTACAATATTATTCTTAGTTCTTCAAGATTATATCATTTAAAGCTTAGATTCTTATATGCATGGATGATCAAAGCATAAATTAAACACAAAGTTTTATTTTCTTTCTCCTTTAGTTTTCGGTCACCACAAGAACATTGACAAGAAATTAAAGAGAAGAAAAATACTATTGGTGTTGAAGCACTTGTAGCAAGAATTCGAAAATTCTCACCTTAATCTCCTTAGAAATTTGGAAGGGTGTTATTTCCTTTCTACAAGGAGGAGAAGAAGAAATTTTAGAGAGAGAGGAAGAAGAGGCTTAGCTTCTTGAAATTTTCAAAAATGAAGAAAAGAAAGAAGATGAAGAACACTTACTCCTTTGGCCAAGAATTTTACTCTTGAAAGAGAGAATTTGGAGCTTTCCTACACTAAAATTTCGAAAATTGGGAGAAGAGGAGAAAGAGATTTTGATTTTTAGAATGTGTAGAGAAAAATGAGAAATAGATGAAGGCTTGGGTTGTATTTATAGAGTTGTGAGGGACTTGCATGCTTAATGATTAAGGAGTGGTCTTTTTGCAATTTAGGAAAACTTAGGAATTATCTAGAGGGACTTCTTTGCAATTTCATTTAACTCTCCAAAAGAAATTCAAAAAGGAAAAATCTTAATGCACATGGGCTCACCAAGACAAGGGTTGTACTCAAGGAAAATATTTGGTCATGTGTTGTACCATGGTCAAAATTGAGGGATGAATAGAAGGGATTTTCTATTTTTATTTAAGAAATTATGTGATTTAAAATTATCCTAACAAATAAGTTCTAGGAAACAAAGGAGTATAATTAATCTCTAGATTAATAATTAACTAAGATGATCAATTTAAATTCGTCCAAAATTATTTCGGATTAATGCATTCTATATGAAACTTCACCGGTTATCACATAAATAAAATCTTAAACTAATAAACGCACATAAGAAATAAAATCACGTTAATTAAATAGATGCTAATTAATGAAAAATTAAATTATCGGAGACGCGGGGTGTTACAATCTCCCCCCCTTAAAGAAATTTCGTCCCCGAAATTTGTACCTTTCTTTATTATGTCCGGGTACCGACTCTCAATCTCATCCTCGAGTTCCCACGTTGCCTCGTCCGGAGAATGGTTTTTCCAAAGAATTTTGATAAGGCGGATTTCTTTATTTCGGAGTTTCTTAACCTTTCGGTCTAAGATTTGAATGGGTTCTTCGATAAAAGATAGGTTTGGGTATAAGTCTATAGGTTCGAATTCAAGGACGTGGTCGGGGTTAGGAAGGTATTTTCGGAGCATGGATACGTGAAAGACATTGTGTATTCGAGATAGATGTGGTGGTAGGGCAAGGCGATAGGCTTGAGTACCGATTCGATTGAGAATTTCGAAAGGTCCAATATATCGAGGGCTTAGCTTCCCTCGTTTTCCGAATCGCATAATTCCTTTGAGTGGAGCGACTTTTAGAAATACGTGGTCGCCAACATTGAATTCTAAGTCTCGTCTCCTTTTATTTGCGTATTTTGTTTGGCGATCTTGGGCCGACTTCATTTTCTCCCGGATGTTTTTGATTATGTCGACTGTGTGTTGGACTAGTTCGGGGCCCAATAATTTTCGCTCGCCGACTTCATCCCAATGGATTGGAGATCGACATTTTCTTCCGTACAATGCTTCGTATGGCGCCATTTCGATTGATGATTGATAACTATTATTGTACGAG